TGGGACTTTTGGCAGGCCCTACCTGGGGAAAGGACCTCAGAGACCAGCTCCTAGTCCTTGGTCCAAAAGTCCTGGGCTGGAATTGGAGCTGCCGCCAAAGGCATGGGGCGCTGCTGCTGTTTGGGGCCTCTCCTCTTCTGGTGGAGCTCCCCCTGCTCTGAAATCAAAGATCAAGGGCTAATCCAGATTCAGAGGGAGGCCAAAAGCAACAGATGGGCTTGGGAGAAGCATGCAGCCTCCTGCTATCTCCTGGCACTGGTTCTCATGTCACCTGGGAGGTCAAGAACACGGCTTCTACAACCAACTGCCCACTGCACTCCTCACCAGCTGCGTGAACCTGGTCAAGTCCCAGAGTTTCTACACCTCTTTGTTCTTTGCTAAGCCACAGTGATTCCCAGTATCTGCCTCCCTAGTGGCTGAGGGACTCCAGATAACAGAGGGAGTAGACGGAGCAGCACAGAATCTGGTCCAGGAGGAGCAGTAAACGAAGCTTCTGGATTAGAATGACTATGGGTCATAGGGTGTTTCTGCTGGAAGGGAACGTGAAGATCATCCAGCACCATCATCCTCCATCCTTTGGACCTCTCCCAGCGGAGGTCCTACTCATACACTCACGCGCTTATTCATCTGGTTCATCCTTCAGTCCTGCAAAGATGCTAAACCTCCGCTTGGTTTCAGGCACTGACCTCGGTGCAGGGAAGATGAAGTGAGTCTGGCACTTATATTCAGGAGCATAAACCATAAACAGACAGGCAAATAAAACAGTGTAGTGTGAAATGGAGATGAGAAGAAATCCCTCGTGGTAAGGGGACAAGAAGCTTAGGGCTGGGGAGGGTTTCCCAGAGGAGGAGAACTTTGAGGAGGGTCCTGAGCCGTGCACAGATCTCAGAGTTCCAGGCAGTGATAGCTCTGGCACTTAAGGGAAGAGAAGATCCCACTCAGAGGAGGAGAGAGGCCCACATGTCCCCACTGAGCATCTCGGAAGGCACTAAAAACGGGGGGTGCCAGGAGCAGATGGGACGGAGGAAAGGGCTCGGGCCGCGTGTGGCAGTGAGCTCAGCAGAGGACCCTGCAGGCAAGGGAGAAGTTTGGTCAGCGAATGACCCTGTGCGTCTGAACTGTGCATCTACTAACTCAGCATTGTCTCAGGCTCCGGGAGGCAGCAGGGAACCAGACCAGAGATCCCGCTCCACAGGACAGGCGCTGCAGAGCCACACAGCAACAGCCCTAATGCGCTGGTGGGAAAGAGGGCGATGGCGACAAGACGACCAGGGGGTGGGATCCTCCAATTCAGGAGCCACTGGCCTCACTAGAGAGTTGATATTTAAGCTGAGGACTGAGTGGTGGAAAAGCGCCGGCCCAGCAGAGCTCTGCAGGAGGTGCTTCCCAGGCAGCGAGAACAGCAAGCGTGAGGGCCTCGATCAGAGCAGGTGTGAGCTTGTTCGTAGAAGGACAGATGCTGGTGCTTAAGGCAGACACAGCTTGAAGATAAGCTGAGAGTAGCAGGAAGGGGGCAGATAAAGTCGTCTTGAGATCATAGGAAATAAATGTGGCTTCTCTTCCAAGGGCGCCGAAACCTTGCACTGAAGCAAGGAGCCATTGGAGACTTGTATTAAGCCAAGGAGAAAACACAATCAGATCGAGGATCTTAAAGAGTCTGTGGCAGGTGAGGTGCAGGGATCAGAATGAAGGATGAAGCCAGCGGGATGGCTGCTGGCAGGCGACAGGCAGTGGCGGTGGAAGTGGCAGGTGGTGACAGCAGAGATGAGTGGAGTGCTCAGACCCAGGGTGTAGGAGTTTGGAGGTAGATTGGAGGTAGAGCTATGCACGTGCACTGGTAGATTGGACGTCAGGATGGAGCAGCGGGAGGCTCGAGAACAATACCCAGGCTTTTGGCCCAAGCCCCAGAGTGGACAGGTGGATGGGGCACATATTATGCAGACAGCACAGGCAGGCCCTGGGGGAGTGAACTGACTACCTGACAGGCTGGCAGTAAAGCCGAGAGCGCAGCACTCCCATGGCCTTGAAATGGTAGCCCGGGACCCATGCCCCCATCTACCTTCCTTCAATAGAAGCTCAGCTCCAAAACCAGCAACCAAGGAACCTGACCCTTTAGTCTGTGCCTGACATCCTGGCCACGGGAGTATTAGTCACCTGTGCACCTGGCCCTGGGTTGAATCACTGCAGCCTTGACCGATGGAGTATGTATTAGTGCTAATTATAATTGCTACCCATTAATCATCATGGCCAAGCCTTGATTTCTACTGCCCGATTATCACCTGGGCACAACTGGCTCTGTTCCTTCAAAGCAATATGCAGCTGCTATGTCTTCCAGAGGTTTTATTAACCCAGTAACCCAAGATGCAACATGAGATTGTCTGGCCCTCGGCACGTAGTACTTCATCCAGGGAGGTGACCAAGGGCATCCAGGTACCGTGGCTGGGCCATGAAGTTGACAGACCTCTGAGCACCCTAGGTAAGGAAGGACCTGATTTCTTCTGCCGAAACCTCAAATTTAAGACTTTGGGGGCTAAGTCATGTTGAACAGGAAACACATGGCCAGGGAAAGGGGGCTCCCCTAAACCAGAGCTCAGAAACCTCACTTTGGACAAGTTTCTCAGCTTAGGAGTTCACGGGCAGCCGGAACTAGGAATTTAGGGTTTTCCACAGCTCGTGTCTTCACGGTACCCCCACAATGAAGGTTGGTGTAGAATAGCTGGGTGCCAAGTCTTGGCTCTTTTTCTCCTTGTCAAAGAGATCCAATTTGGAAGCCATTAAGATTCAAATGAACACTTGAGTCTTAAAGAATTCGTCATAAAAATCAGAGCTTGTTCATTCATAGGCACATACTCGGAGTGCTTACTGTGTGACTTGCCCAGGTGGGTGTTGGGTTTGGATACCCAGCTGGGTGAGCTTGTGGTCCGGTAAGACACAAACAAGGACAGTGACACAGGGAAGGAGAGAAGCCTCTGTAGGGGACATGAGAGCCCGTGGAAGGGATGATACAGAGAGAGGTGGCTGAGCCTCATCTTGAGGGGAAGTGCAAGGTTTCAGTGATAGAATAATCCCCCCCACCCCCACCCAGCAACCTCCGTATACGAAATCCTGGAACCCTCGACTTTGTTACTCTACATGGCAAAGGATTTTGTAGTCGAGTTCAGCATCTTGAGATGGGGGGAAAAGAGGGAGCGCGGTGACAGAAGCAGAGACTGGGGGCCTCCAGAAGGCCCACGACCCTGCCGACACCTTGATACAGGACACCTGGCTGCAGCCCTGGAAGATAATAATTTACATTAAGTCTGGTATTTGTCACAGCTGCCGTAGGAAATTAATACAGCTAAGACTGCCCAGAACACTGCTGCAAGCGATGTGTATTTCTGAGGATCGGAGGGATTCAAACAGAATGTCCAACCAGAGAGGCTCGGGGCCAAGGTGAGGTGATGGTGCCAAGGAAGGGTGACAGCCGGGGAGAGCCGATTCCCACAGTGCCAGGGAGTGAGCTCCGCAGTGTGAGGAGGAAGGGGCGGTGCAGAGTGGCCCAGGACTGAGCCGGGAGCAAGCTTTGGCGATGAGGAGAGGCGAGAGGAGGGGAGGAGAGGCCGGAGGTAGCATCTGAGACTCAGGGACATTGCGCATGAGGGTGAGAGGGGACGATGGGGGCCCCCTGCCCCTAGCTTGGGTGATGGGAGGTGTTGCATTCTGGGGTCACCTGAGAGGAGACCCAGAGAGTCCCTTGTGCCTCACAGGGAGGGGCCCACGGCCTGGCAGCTGGGAGGAGGTTGACCGCTCCAGCTGGTGATGGAATCAGCCTTAGGTGAGGGGCACCTTGCTTAAGGTGCTGTCCACTGTGGTGCTGCCTGAGGACAGAAACCCTTCCAGGATGGTCGTTCACTTGACTTCTTTCAGCCTACCCCCCCCCACGCCTTACTAACCAGGTGTTAACGTGCTTATAACCTTTCATCTAGATCGTTAAAGGTTGCTTACATTTTGACAGATTCTTTTTTTTTTTCAATTATAAAGTTAACTCACAGGTCACTATTGGTAATTTTGAAAAAGAAAAGTAGATCAGCCACTCTTGCTAGGTGTGGTGGTGCAGACCTATAATCTCAGCACTCTGGGAGGCTGAGGCAAGAGGATTTCCAAGTTTGAGACCCGCTTAGGCAATATACAACTTGGCAATAGCCTGTGTCAAAAGAAAAAAGATAAGAGCTGGGGATACAGCTCACTACAGAGACCCTGGGTTCAGTCCCCAGTATCACACACACACACACACACACACTTACACCGTACATGACATATTTCCTTCACTTTTTTTCCTATGAAGTGTTATGTTTCGTTTTATCTTGTTTTCCTTAATTGGGACCCTACGACGTTATCAAGTCAGTCTTCTATCCACTTTTAAAACTTGTGTCATAGTGTTTGCATCTGTTCTCAAAAGTTACGGCAAACTTTCCTTAGGAATCAGTTCCTTTATGGCCCCATAGTTTTCCATGGGACAGATACACCTAGTTGATTTAACTCATTCCCTGATATTAGAAATCTCCAGATTACTCCAGTTTAAAAAGCAGGCTTTACTTACTTTAATGCCCCTCTTTCCTAAATATAGTATTTTCTACATTAAGAATTTTTAAGATTAAAAATTCAAAACTTGAATTCTTGGGGCAAAGGGGATGCACATTTTTAAAAATGTGGACACATTGCTAAATTTTTCTTCCGGAAAGTTGGTACCCACAAACACTCCCATGAGTGATATCTCTGAGTATCAGTTTTTATCATCTTCTTCTCAGCATTGGGATTGAACAGACTGATCTTTGTTCATTTGACTGGTGGGAATACTACCTGGCTTTTGGTTCACCTTTTTGATAGTTGCGTCTTATTCTATCAGGAAGTCGTGCTATTGTTTCATTGACTGGCTCTCACTGGTTATTTTTACACTGCTGTTAACATCTCTGTGCTTAAAACCTAAGTTAATTTCTCTGCTCATCTTTTTCTCTTTTGAGGGCGCTATGATGCCCGGGCCAGAGTGCTCGTTTGCCATATGACCTCCCTGTTACAAGTGCCCTTGGAGGAGCTGGATGACCTTGAAGAGACCTTCCTCGAAAGCCTGAAGGAAACCAAAGATGAGGAATCTGAGTAAGAGCCCTGTGACCCTTGTCAGGAACCACAAATTTCCTCTTGGAGATAAGAGGACTGTCCTTCTCAGTCGAGAGATGGGGCAGGGAGGCCAAAGGAGCATTCCAGTTCCGTTGGCAGCACTGACTGGCTGTGTGACCTTGACAAGTCACCTGCCCTCTCCAGGCCCCTCATTTGCAAGAAGAAAGGGGGAATGGATAATTGGCAAGGGCTGTGAATCCGTGACATTAACACCCTGCTCCACCTCAGGCTCCTGTGATACCCCGTCTGTGGGCTCAAGTGACCTGAGTCCTTATGCTTGTCTGCAGTTTGACTTTGGGCAAGTGACCTCTCTCAGAGCTGCAGTCTTCCTATCTGCAGAATGGGTGGAAGTGTAGCACCTTGCCAGGGTCATTAGGAGAAAGAAAAGGGATTGTATTTTGGGGGGAGGGGTTGATATAGGGGGTTAAGCTCCAGGCCTTGGCGCTGAGCTACACTTCCAGCCCTTTTCTGAGACAGGGTCTCACCAAGTTGCCCAGGCTGGACTCAAACTTGTGATCCTCCTGTGTCAGCCTCCGAGATTGCTCCCATCACAGGTGTGCTCAGCCAGACCTGGTTGGAAGGAGCTCACATTATAAAATGATCAGTCCAAGGCTGACATGTAGTAAGTGTTCCGTGGTTGCAAACTTCTCTGCCCCTACCTGCCCCAAGCCCATCAGCTGTAGGGCATCTTTGCCATTGTGTATGGTCAGGGAATATAGAGGGAAATAATCCTAATAACTGGCCAGAGTGAGCTCATTGCATATGCCTTCGGCGAAATCTAATCTCTGGGCGATAAATCAGTTCCAGTCACAGCCTGTTTGAGGGCTGTTGGCACCAGGCAGCTCTGCCCAGCTCTGGATCCTGCTCACCCGTGCTGGCTTCCTTTGAGCAGCCAAGTTACACTATTTCACCCCAGCTAGAAATTTAACCCTAAAGTCAACATCAGAGCCAGAGCTGTCCTCCCGCGACCAGGTTTTCTGAGGCAAAGGGAAAGGTATTACCTTGCAAAAGAAGGAAATGTAATTTGTTGAAATAAAACTCAAAATATTCCTGCTCTGAATGCCAGAGCTGTGTCAATAAAGAAATACCTGGATCTGAGGAAATTACCATAATCACAAGGGCTGCCCAGATTCTTTGAATGCATTGAAAATTTATAGGGTCTTATGTGCCTTGAAATTAAGGAAACTCCATTCTTATTTGCAAATCTTTTTTATCAGAAAGAATGTATTACCTGGAAGAATGTTTGATAATATTAATAATGCCTGATCAAGACAGATGTAAGGCGAAAGTTCTAACAAACCCTGGCTCTGATATTTTATCAAGTATGTGATCTTGGGCCAGTCTTTTAATTTCCCTGGACCTCAGTTTCCTTACCTGCAAAGCAAGGATGATAATAAAATACTTCTCAGAGGGTCCCTGTGGGCTGCAGTGAGCTCATACATGTAGAGTACTTCAAGTGGGCCTGGGACAGAGGGGCTACTCCATATGTGTCACTATTTGTTACTGTTATCGGTACTGTTATAATTGTATTATCACATATGAACCTTTTCCCCAGAAAAATATATATAGTTTTAAGGATGATGGAGACTCAGATTCTCTCTGTGGTCTCCAGAAGGATCTGAGACCCAGAGAACGCACACAGCAACTGTGCAACCTGGAGACCTGATTCTTAGTTAGATCCTGCTACTAACTCTCCATGTGGCCTTGGAAAGGTTGCTTGCCCCCTCTAGATGCCAGCATCAATCTTTTTCTGCTATGCAATTAGGAGATCAAATTACATGTGGGTTTCTCTTAACTCTAGGATTCCACATTCTAGGAGGTGAGCTTATCTAAGATGCTTCTTTGCAGCCAGGGTCTTGAGCATGGTGTGTCACCCCACGCCTCTTGGTCCCCACCTGAGCCCTAAGACCATCCAAGCCTCCTTCACCTGTTGCATGACCGTGCCTGTCTGTGCCTCAGTTTCCTCATCCCTAAACGTGGGGGCCCTGTTAGCATCTACGTGAGAAGGTTGTTGAGAGGCTAATTAACACCCTCAAACCTTGGCATCATGCCTGGCACACAGTGGTAAGCATTAGCTAGGGCGCGTGGCTGGAGGTGGATGCTGATCTCCTGCGAGTAACACAGTCACCATCTAACGTGAACCGAATGCTTCTGTGTGCAGCGACAAACCTCAGGGTCTGATCCTCAACCACCTGCTGGGGCTTCACAGATGAAACAAGTCAGACAGTTGACATCACTCACCACGTCACACCTCTGGTCAGTGACATCATGATGCAGCCACGACGTCCAGTCTGGGTGTCATTTACTGAATCCCTCGAGGCCTGGTTGACAATCGCGGGATGCCCCCCTCGTTCTGAAGAAGGCAGCGCAGAGAATTCTGTATAGGGCCATCTGAGTTTTCACTGAGAAAGGAGCTCGAGAGCTCAGAGATGGGCTCATCCTGTTTGTTAACATCAGAAAAAGAAAAAGAAAGTTTTCAAGTTTGGAAAAGCAGATAGTGGGCTAGAGTGTTGCTCAGTGCAGAGTGCTTGCCTAAAGAGAAAGCAGAACGGCAGGTGGTGTCAAGGACAGTAGGGAGGGTGAACTCGCTCTCGTGGGAAATCGGATGGCCGTAAATAAAAATTTCTGCGGCCCCATAACGTGGGCAGAATTGTCTCGTTCTTGCGGTGTCAGCTTGGGGCCTGACCCAAATCTGCGGTGCAGCCTCAGCCACTGGCCTTAGCCACCATGGAGCAGCGACTCGGCTTCATTCCTGGCAATTCCAGAGTACGATCGTGGGAGCCCGTGCATTGCCAACGTGTCTAAGGACGGGGCAAAGTCTGTCGCTGGGACAGAGCAGTCATTTGCCTTCAGAATTATCTGAATCTGTGCTTCTGAGGCGGAGGGGCGCATTCTAGATGTGACCCAGAGCACGCGTCTCCTGGGCGTGAGAGGTTGCAGTTCGATGGGCTAAAGTCATTGTGAGAGTAAAACACTGTGATAATTAACAGTGACTGGAAAACCTATTCGTTTTATGTAGAAAACCACAGCTAAGAATGTGCAGTGTTGCTTAAATAGAGAACTAGATTAGCTCTTCGGGTGAATGTCAGGAGCCAGTGCCTCTGCTAAGTACCTTTAGGGAAAAATGCCTTCTTTTCAAATCAACGAATGTTTATAAACATTTACGTAATAATACAAGCAGAACATTAGAGGGCCTGCCTAGCACATGTAAGGACCTGGGTTCCATCCCCAGCGCTGCCAGACAATTTTTTAAAAAGAATACCAGTAGACAGTGATAAGAGAACATGCCATCCATTGCATCTTTGTAAAGTTGATTTGATATACTAGGCCTCGTACATTTAAATCACACACCCCGTGAGGATCGCACAGTATTTCTTTTGTAGTTACTTTATTCTCTTATGCCATCTCCTTTCCTTCCATCCATCAAGAAGCCGACAGTGCCCAGAAATGTCAAGGGCACTAACTCAGGAATTTGATTCATTTTTTTAAAAATAAATCTATACTAATCATAAAAATTCTCAGACATTTCATATTGGCCCTATTATCTCAGACATTTCTCTTTGGATGGCAGCTGTCCTATAACTCTGCCTGCATATTTTTTGTTTAGTGAGTACCTTTTCTGTGCCCCTCTGGTTTTTCAGAGCACAAGGGGAACTGTGTCCCTACAGCAGAGTGGTCGTCTTCAGTCCTTGTTGGAATAATTGGGTTCTAGAATATGTGCTGCCGAAGCCAGCCCTGGAATAATTGAGTTCTAGTCGAGCAACATTTTCCTGAAGGCTCTCCAGGCCCGGGATGCAGAGCCAAGGAGAGCTTGGCCTGCACCCTGAAGGTTTAGCCTAGCGATTTTCAACCCCGGAGACCGCAGAATCCCTGGAGGGACGCGTTACAGATGCGTCCTAACCCTCACACCCAGGTGCACCCGGATGGAGACCACACTGCAAGTCACTGGATAAGAATCTCGGGGTGACATGATACACAGGATTTCATGTGCCCAGAGTCAGAGCATTTAGGAAGCCGCGGGGCTCAGAGCAGGCTCCCTGTATCAGCCGACCCTTAGAGGATGTATAATGTCAAGCTGGACACGAGCAAGTAAGAAGATCCTCGGGGGCCTAGGCCAGGTGGGGCACAGGCGTGAGGCAGTGTGTGCGAGATTCTGTGTTTCCGCAGGAAAAGGCCTAAGTTAGGGCGTGATGAGAGATGAAGTTGGAGGAAGCAGGGGCAGGACCTAGAGGTCCTGAGTGTCACCATAGGGAGATGCGTCCATCCTGAAGGCAGAGGGCAGCGAGGAGGGGCGGGGAGGCGGGCAGCCAGGCACGGTATACTTTCCTGCGTGGCACTGGCTGCCGGGGCATCGCTGTCTCCCAATCCTCCCAGGAAGTCATTTTCCATTTCTTTTTCCTAGGTGAGGAAATCAAGTGTTAGAAAAATCAGGTGAGCCAGCAGAGCTGCTCTCCAGTCCCTTCTCCCCCAGTCTCCAGCTCCTCCCTGTCGGTTGTCAAGTCAAGGTGCTGCTGACACAGGGCCGCGCTGCTGACACAGGGCCGCGCTGCTGGTCTCCTTGCATGCTCCTGCTGTACGCTGTCAACACACAGTTATTTCCTTAGTCCTTGAACTGTGCTGAAAGCCAGTAATTTCCAGCTTCCTTATTCGAACTGAATTAAGGATCTTTAATTAAGGAGCAATTCAATCAAGGGTCAAAGTATATATCGCCAGCTACTGTTCAGGAGGAAATTGTAATCATGAAACGGATGATAACAGCAACCTCCATATTCCATGATTACAATATGCCGGTCATACGAATCACCTCATTTCACTCTCGTCGACACCCGTGGGACTGCATACTACTGTTATCCTCGTTCTTTGGATGTGGAAACCCAGCTGTGACAAGTATCTATGCATAGGCACAAAGTTATAAATGGTTCCATAAATAGGTAGCGTTTGCTGCTATGACAAATGACCCCCAAATCCCAGTGGCTCACAAAGCAGAGCCTTATTTCTCATTCATACTGTATGTCCTTTGCAGATCACTTGTGACTCCCATCTGTACTTTCCTGGTTGTAGGGTCCAGGTTGCTGGTCTCTGGTCACAGTGAAAGGAGGCATAGCTGTTGAAGGTCCCACCAGAAAGGACATCCCTTCTGCCTATGTGTCATTGGTTAAAGCCGGTCACATGACCACTCAGCTCTAGAAGGTGGGGATGCACGGTGCTCCTCCATGGCCACGGGTGCCGCAGCCTCACTTCAGTCAACCACAGATCGACTGTTTTCAAATAATTGGATCTGTTTAATATAAATAATTGAATGTGTACAATATTTTTTTCTCCTTATCACCATCCCCCAAACAATACAGTAGAACGATGATTTGCACCGTATTGGGCATTATTGGTAATCTAGAGATAATTAAAAGTATATGGGAGGGTATGTGTAAGTTATAAACAAACACTGCACCATTTCAGATAGGGGACTTGAACCCCCATAGATTGTGGCATCCATGGGATGCCCTAGAACCGATCCCACAGATACTGAGGAAGGACTGTACAGTCTTTCCATAGGGAAGGATAAGTCGGTGTTTGGCAAATGGTGGTCCAAGCTATACCGTGGCAAAAATCATGCCTTTGCAGGTGATGTCAGGCCCCTCGCTCTTAGTCATTTCCCTCCCCTCCAGTCAGCTGGATGCGTGAAGTTGCCCTCGAGTAGACAAGATCAGTTTCAATCACGGGGAGCACATGGGTTTTCTGCTCACAGGTCCCGGCTACTCATAAGTGCAGCACTCAAGGTGCCAGCACAGTGTGCATTCACAGTCAAAGCTTATTGCTTGACCTGCGTGCAGCTGCGTGTGCCTGTAAACCCAGCACTTGGGAAGCTGAGGCAGGGGGCCACAGGTCTGAGCCTAGCCTGGGCAACTTAGTGAAACCTTGTCTCAAAATAAAAAGGGCTAGGGATGTAACTCAGTGGTAGAGTGTCCTGGGTTCAATCCCCAGTACAGAGAAAGATGGGAGGGGAGGAGGAGGGTGAGAAAGAGGAGGAAAGGAAGGGAAGGAAGAAAAGGGCTAGAGATTTAGCTCAGTGCAAAGGCCCTGGGTTCAATTCCCAGTGCAAGGACTAATGTAATCTTCACAAAGCAACTACTTTACGAGGGAGATGCTACAGTTCCGTTTTGTAGAAGAGGAGACTAAGGCTCCGGATGATACCGTTTTAGGACTACACTGACACTCGCGAGTGTACTTTATAGACACTTTATAGACATTCCTCTGACTCAAACCCAGTGATCTCAGGCAGTGACCTCTGTCACCTCTTCACTCATTTGTAATGTGGAGACCAAGTAAAACTTTGGCTTACAACAAGATACAGAAATCGTGCGAAGCGCCCTGTGCGGTGGCTGGTGTTAGGAAGCGCTCAGTAAATATTGACCATTTTCCGTCACTCGTTATCACGGCTACCCCGGCTGTCACTGCGTTGAGCCGTCCAAACTCCACCTTCGGCTCCAAGTGCTGCATGCTGATGGCCAGTCCCACCCTCGCCTCTCTTCTTCATCGCCCCAAAGTGGCTGAGAGATAAATGTCTGACAGGAAAATGGGGTGCCCTGACTTCAGGCTGCTCTTGGGATGCCCCTGACCCCACTTCACTCTGTTTTGGGGGGTTTTCTGGGATTCTTTGGTTTGGGGGTTTTGTTTTGGTTTTTTGATAGCAGGGATCGAACTCAGGACCTTGCGCCTGGGACACAGGCGTGATGCCACTGAGCCAAATCCACAGCCCGACCCTGGTTCACTCCATGCTTTCCTTTTCTAGATTTTGTCGCATTTATATTTCGAGTCTTAATGGGTCCAGCTGTTGCTCCAACCAAGGCCGCGGTCTCCTAAGTAGACGTTTCGCTATCCTATCTGCAAAATGATTCTTCCGCACGTCCTAGAGGAGGAAGGATCTAACGGCAGGGTGGTGGACGAGGAAAGGGGAGGGAGACAACAGAATCTGGAGTTCTATTTTGTACTTATTCTGGGTCTCTCTATTGAAAGATATGTTCTGTGCCTCTTGTTATTGTTCTATTATTATTATTTTTTCTCTTTCATTATTCAACTTGCAACCTTGTTAGGATGGATCCACTGGGTAAGTAGTATACCCCATGCATTGAGATTCCCAGGTGGGTTTTAGAGCATTTTCAGCCTTTTCAAACCAGCAGCACGCCCAGGTAACTTGGGTGCTCCGGCCCACCTTTGACCTTGGTGTAGGGATTGGTGGGATGGCAGGTCTTGGGGATCCTAGGGCATAGGTGGCCCTAAATACCAATCTCTTCTCTCCCAGAACTGCTGAGGCTTCCCGGAAGAAGAAAGAAAAAAGGAGGAAATGGAAGCGTTACCTGCTGATAGGCCTGGCGACTGTCGGAGGCGGGACCGTGATCGGTAAAGCCAGCTGGGAACAGAGGCTGTGGGCCGGGGCCATGCAGAACGAGAGCCGTGCTGGATTCGGGTGAGGGGAGGGTGCAAAGCAAGGGTGGGCTGGGAGGCGCCCCGCAGGTGGCAGGTGGCCTGTCAGTGACAGCTACGCTCTTAGCTTGCTAGAAGCTTCCATGGAAGCCACTGGATAGCGGGTGCGACAAGAACTCGCCTTCGCTCACTACAGGCTCCTTTCCCTGCAGGTGTGACTGGGGGTCTCGCTGCCCCGCTTGTGGCCGCCGGAGCTGCGGCAGTCATCGGCAGTGCTGGGGCAGCGGCCCTGGGCTCAGTGGCCGGCATAGCTGTCATGACCTCACTGTTCGGTGCAGCTGGAGCTGGCCTGACAGGTGAGGTTCAAAAAGAGCTAGGGGAAGGGATTGACCAGCATGGACCACCCTAAAGGACACGTCCAGGTTCTCTCCTGGGATGGCTCCGTGGGAGGCACAGGAGCGCGGGCTCTGTGTACTCTAGGTCCCAGCCGTGCCAGACCTGCAGCAGGTTAGAAAGAATCAGGCCCGTAGCTCAGTGTGGGCCGGGGCAAAGCCAAGGGTGGGAAACTGGGTCCCTTCCCACCACGGTCCCTGGGCTGCTTCCGAGAGAGAGCCGAGTGAGCCCGCTGCTGCCACACAGTGGGTTTGCAGGCAAGTGCCTCAGAGGCTTACATGCTTCCCCACAGTCAGACGGAGCATGGCTGCCCTTCACTGACTGGCTCACCTGTGTCCACAGCCCCTGCTCACACAGAGATCCCATCCTGCTCCCCTGCTGAGAGCCCTGTTCTCTTCCGTCCTCTCCCACTAAGACAGTGGCTCACATTGCTGAAGGGACAGGCGTGACAAAGACCCACCCAAGTCAGGACAGTGTAGAAGCGAGGACCCTGGTGTGAATCCCCACCTGTCCCTCGGCAGCTTTTTACTCTGTGCTGTAATCAGGTACAGAAATGCCACTTGCCTTAAAGCACGCATTTTTCCCCGGGCCGGGCACGGAGCCTCTGCTCCGTCCGCCATTCTTTCTCATTTCCACGTCTGGGCCTTTAGGGTACAAGATGAAGAAGCGTGTCGGGGCCATTGAAGAGTTCACGTTCCTTCCTCTGACGGAGGGCAGGCAGCTGCACATCACCATTGCCATCTCTGGGTGGCTTGCATCTGGCAAATGTCGTAAGGACCAGAAGAGCGGGAGTGGGGTGGGCGTTGGCGGGCGGGGCCTACAGCTGCGGTCAGCCTGGGCCAGGTTCTTGCTTGTGTGTATATCTCTAGGAGATGGGGATGCGGAGCCCCATTTTGCAGGAGGAAATTGAGGCTCAAGAGAAGTGAAGTAACCATCTCGCATCCATCTACCAACCCAGCCACCCACCCATCCACTCATCCACCCACCCATCCACTTATCCACCCACCCATCCACTCATCCACCCACCCTTCCATCCTCCCAGCCATCCATTCGTCACCTGTCTCGCAAGCCATATTCCTAAAGTATTCTACTTACTTTGTGCCACACAGCATTCCGGGCCCCAGGAATTCAGTGGTGAGTAGCATATTCATGGCTTCTCTCCCGCGGAACACGGGGTAGGAGACCAAATAATCACAGGGAACCTTTATGGGGGCACAATAGAAGAAACAGAAGGTGTTTCTGGGGAAGGCTCCGGAGGGAGTGACATTTAGACTTAAGAGCCGGCTTGAAGTTAAAGAAAGTAAAGAAGAAGCAAAAAATGCATGCCAACCAAAGGAAGGTATGTGCAAAGTCCAGCAATACCAAAGAACCAGAAAGAGCATGGGACAGCTACAGCAGGGAGCCAGAAAGCAGGATCGAGGGCAGAGCCACCCCATGCAGGAGCATGTGAGCTGTGGTTTGAATTCATCCTCAGAGCAAGTGCAAGGTAGCAAAGGGCTGTAAATTCATGGGTGAGATCACGCCACTGTGGCCATGTGACTTCAAGCAAGTGACTTAACTTCCTCTCCCTCGGTGACTTCATTTGTCAAGAGGAACAGATTATTCCTGCCTTTTTGGGTTGCTACAGAGATCAAACTGAATTGGATGACTCGTGGCGGGCATCTGGTTTCTGGCTGGCATTTCACAAACATCAGTGCCCCTCCCCTCATGCCTAACCAGGTTGGCCGGGAGGACTTATTTACACCCTAGTCCACTCACTGGCTGGCTCACCTCTGCAGGTGTCCAGCACAAGGCTGAGCAAACAGACAAGACTTAGTGAGAATGTAGGGCAGGCCAGGGAATTGCTGAGAGCTCCCTGGATTCCCAGGTCTCTGAGGTCGAAGCAGGGAAGCCGCAGCTCTTCTAAATGACACAGAAGTAAGTAAATGAGTAAAGGTTTAAAGTGTCAACAGTGGGGTGTGCCTGCCAGCCCCCACCCCGTGGTCTCTCACAGGGAGGAAGGAACGTGAACAAAGATCTAGATAAAGGAACTTGAAACTCTGACCAGTATGAAAAGCAAATCCCTTGGCTTCATTTTATTCCTCTTTGCCCAGCCAAAGGCCAAGTTCACCATGGGGAAAGGAAACTATCTTCGTTGTTCTCTTTCCTAAGTGTAACGCGGTGTGGGACTCGGGCAGAAGGGTGGTTCAATGAAATATAACGGAACTAGAGACGGTTCAGGTAGGAGACAAAAATCACCCATTTCTGTCTGCTGAGAGCCTTCCTGTCCTGGCAGACTTGCTTGCACGTGTTGGGGACCAGTGGCCTCTCCGAGGCTCGTTAATCGTGATGTGTATAATAATGACAGGGACTTGGCAGCTACCCGCTTGCACTGAGTCCGGAACTCTCTCCAGCCCTGCGCTTGCACTGAGTCCCTTCCCTCCACACTTCCAGCCCATCTGGCGCCCCCACTTTACAGAAGAGAACACGGAGGCCCATGAGGGCTCCCCAGTTGGTTACCCAGCTAGTGCGGGGTAGGATTCAGCCCCTTTCTGTCGGGCTCCATCGCCCATACTCCTGGCCCTCGAGCAGCACAGTGCAGCGCGCACTTTGCAGTTCACTTTTCAAGCAGTCTCTCCACGGTCGCTGAAAACATCTGAGTCCGACCTGATGATTCTGTTCGTGCCCTTATAGAAGCTGAGATTCAGAGGGCTTCCGCCCTGCTGAGCGGTGCGGATGGGAAACTGCGCCCCGGGAAACTGCGCCCCGAGGCCAGAGTCCTGGGTCTGCAACTCATCGAGGCTGAGCTCCCCCTGCTGGCCTCACTGAGTTTCTTAATCAGAGCCCAGGGACCCGAGTTGTCCCAGAGCCAGCCAGGGGCCTGGTAGACAAAGGGAGCCGCTGCAGGCCCGTTTCTGTGCCCACAGAGCACCCTGCACGTCAGGGTGAGGCCTTTGGCTCAGGTAGGCAAGACTGGGAAGCTGGTTCAGAACCCAAAGGCTCTGGGGAGCCGGCTCTCACCTTCCTTGGCTGGTGCTGCTTTTCTGGGCGCTCACCGTGCCCCCACTGCCTGGCTTTGGGAGCATGCGGCTTGGCCCAGCCGGCTGAAGGGGAGGCCTACACTCCACACAGGATGCAGTAACAAACGTGATTCTGGGCTGAAGCACGAATTTAAGAGTAAGGTGCAGGCCGGTTGATCCGTCAGAGGACCTGGGAAAGCTTTGCTGTGCAGGGGGGTGATCAGACCGGAGCTCCCAGGTCACGTGGGAATGAACCAGCGGGCTGGTGTGAGGCCCAGGAGCTAGCAAAGAGTCTGTGTCCTGAAAGGGCCTCCAGGGCCACAGGCAGAAACCGCTGAGGGCCTGACCAGGTGCTCCGCTGTACCCATATCCTGAAGGCTACCGGCAGCAAGGAGGGGATCAGGGAGGCAGGCAGGCTTGGGTGTGCTTTCCTGCTTGATGCTGGCTGCTGTGGCACTGTTATCTTGTCTCTCACACACGCACACACAGACACACACACACACACACACAATCATCATCATCATCATTTTTCAGGTCCATTTTCCCAGGGAAAGAAATCGAGACTCAGAAAGATTGGCTGACTCAGCCAAGCTGGGGTCAAGTCACTCCTCCCTGATTTCTAATTATTTCCTAGTCAGTGTTTGTTGGATCGAGGTGCCATGCAGTGGGGCCAGAGCCGCACTTCTGGTCCCGTCCGATGTCAGTGGCTTTGATGCCAGAATTCGTGCTTTATACACACAGTAGTTCACCCGCTCCATTCTCACCACTATCCTGGGGACAGAAGTAATCTCCCCACTTAACAGATGAGCAAAGTGAGACACGAGGTAATGATGTTCCCAAGGTCACCTAGTTTACGACTGAGGAGACAGAAATTGAGATTGGCCCACAGGGTGGCAGGGTGCTCCCTTCCCTCCGCTAATGCCTCTTGTCTTCCTGGCTTGTTTGAGCAGCCCCCCACCCCGTGGCTGCCTGTCTGGTTTAGTGAGGTCGGGCGCCCACTCCCGTGATGCCACCTGCCTGTCTTCTCCCCAGGCACCTTCAGTGCCCCATGGGCATCCCTGGCCCACAGCCGCGAGCAGTACTGCCTGGCCTGGGAAGCCAAGTACCTGATGGAGCTCGGCAATGCCCTGGAGACCATCCTCAGTGGCCTCGCCAACATGGTGGCCCAGGAGGCACTCAAGTACACCGTGCTGTCTGGTAAGCCTCCCTGCGACCACGGTGACACCATACCCTTGCGTGTTCACTGCCCCCTGGGAAGTCAGGCACCAAGCTGGGTGAAGATGACGTTCCCGTCTGTGAGAAGGCTGTGGTCTTTGTGAGAGAGACCGGCCAACAGCCAATCACACGGCATATCCATAACCCTGCTGCTGAGTGACAAGCTGCCCCCAAACGCAGTGGCCCAGAATAACAATCATGTGTTACAAAGGCTCAGGAGTGCAGAGGCTGGGCTGACCTCAGTAGGCTGCTTATGGATCTGTGGGTCAGCCAATTGTTGAGGGACAGTAGCTAGCCTTACCTGGGCAGCCACAGCAACTCGGCTGTGCTCTGTGTGTCTCCTCCTGGGGTCAGCAGCCGATCCCGTAGCAATGAGGGGAGTTTGACAACACTGGGAAATGCGTAGGCGTAAGACAGAGGCTTGTGTGCGTTCACTCATACATCGAGAGCCGATCAGCATCCTAGGAAGACTCCCCTCATCTCCTGTTCCACTTCTCCAGGCATCGTGGCCGCCCTGACCTGGCCGGCCTCACTCCTCAGCATCGCCAGCGTCATTGACAACCCCTGGGGGGTGTGTCTCCGTCGGTCGGCAGAGGTTGGCAAGCACCTAGCCCACATCCTGCTCTCCCGGCAGCAGGTACTGGGGCTGGCAGTGGGTGAGGAAGGGAGGCGAAGCGAGGGCCTGACTCACACAAGCATGGAAGTCCTAGCAGCAGGTCCACTTGGGAGGGGTAGGTGGGGTAGGTGGTCTTCTCCGTCCTCCGGGGAAAGCCCTGCAGGTGTCCTAGGATAGACCAGTGAGAACTGTAGACTGCAGTCTCTGGCTGGTAAACAGATCAAGCCTGAACACAGGGCCATTTACAGCCGTGAACAGGCTGAGGGGGTTGAGTAGAAATGAAAAGTTGCTCCTCTGTGTTAGCCTTAACTAAAGAGTTTGGCATGCTGCACACCCGTAATCCCATCTACTTGGGAGGCCGAGACAGAAGGACTCTAAGTTCATGGCCAGCCTGGCCGATTTAGCAAGACTTATTTCAAAAACAAATTTTAAAGGCTGGGGGTGTAGCGCCGCGATAGAGTGCTAAACTAACACGTGTGACACCCTAGGTTCAGTCACCCATACCAGAAAACCGAAAGAGTTTAGCTATAGCTGGACCCATTGGGAACCTCTGATTCAGTCAGGGAGGCAAAGGAGACCACACAGACATCTCTTACGGATTCCCACATGCTGGGGCCGGGTGTTTCTTCCTAGCCACATGAAGGTGTCATCTTCAATGATTCAGAGATTCTGGAAAACAGGAAGAGAAATCTTTATAATATTTTAAAATTTTGAATCCGGTAAGACTTACAAAGGAAATAAAAACTATCTCCTTCAATAGCCAGGGGCAATGGTACATACCTGTAACACCAGCACTCTGGGAGGCTGAAGCAGGAGGATCACAAGTTCAAGTGCAGCCTAGGCAACTTGGTGATGTAGTGAGACCCTGTCTCAAAAAAATTTTTTTTGTTTGTTTGTTTTTTTGGTACCGGGGATTGAACTCAGGTCCTTGCACTTGCAAGGCAGGCGGCGGAACCACTGAGCTAAATCCCCGGCTCAAAATTTAAAAAATAAAAAATAAAGGAGGCTAGGGATATATATAGCTCAGTGCAAATGCTCTGGGTTCAATTCCGAGTGCTGCAATAAATAAAAAAGCTTGAGTAAATGGAAACAAACATGTGAGAGGTAGTATCAGAGATGGCTGTATTGTTGGGATTGCTTTGGGCTACAAGTGGGAGAGAATCCGAAGTCATAGTGTCTTAAACAAGAAAGAAGTTTATTTTTCTTAGAAAAAGCCTGGGTGACAGTCGGGCACACAATGGCAGGAGCCCCAGGTTCCTTCCTGTCTTCTCTCTGCTCTGCTGCTTATGGCCCTGACCTGTTCCGGATGGCAGTGTCTAAACTCCAGGTAGCAGGGGAATGGAAGAACCCAAGGAGAGAGCAAAGGCCCCGAACAACGTCTGTCTGTTGGCCAGAGCCCGGTCACATGACCGTTGCTAGCTGCCACAGAAGCTGGGAGACACAATCTTTATTCTGAGTGGCAGTGAAGCCAGCTGAAATTCAATTACTATGCACAAAAGGATCAGCACACATCAAGAGACAGCTGGCAGTTTCTGCTGCTGTGGTACATTGCTCAAGAAACTGGTAACTCCATCCAAGACCTGTACAGGGATCTTTGCCAGAAAAAAAAAAAAAAGAGAGAGAGAGAGAGGAAGAGGAAGTGTTTTGGCAGATTTGGCTATAAGGCAAAGAATGTGTATTCTTTTCATGTGTATTAGTTGTAACAAAACGCCTAGCACCCTCGTATTATCTCACAGCTCTGGAGAGCAGCAGTCCAAAATGTACGCACAGGGCTGCTTTCCTAGCAAATGCCCCAGGAGCATCCGTTTCCCTGGCTTTCCCGGTTTCCCAGGGCCACTTTCATCCTATGGCTGGCAGCCCCCTCCTGCATCTTCAAAGCCCGCAGCATCAGTGGCACCTTCGTCTCTTTCTCTTTGTCCCTCTGCTTTCCTCTTCACATTGCCTTCCATCTGACCCCCTGCAGCCCTCTTACTGGGACGCCTGTGATGGCAGTGGGCCCACCCAGACATCCAGAGTCCTCTGTGCCATCTCAAGATCCTCACGGTGATCTTATCGCAAAGCGTGTCTTCCATAGCGGGTTTCATGTGCAGGTTCCAAGAGTGGACGCCCTGGCAGAGGCCGTTATTCTGTCTCCCACAGAGCCCAGACTCCTTCACCTGGTGGCCTTTTATCCAGCACACTTGGTTCTCTCTGTGGTCTGCACACACATGCCGGACTTTCAGAGGCAGAAAGCAGAAATGAAGGCCATGTCTAGAATTCACAGCTCTATCCTGTCTTCAGTCCCTTAGCGAAGACTCAGCCCTGTGGCCACTCTCGGCTGCAGAGGCAAACACTGAGTCTTTGTCTGGGTAGTGGTACCCGGAGAAACTTAGCTGTTCTAGTATCACAGGATGGAGGGAAGGAGGGTCGCTGGGAAATGACTAGCAGTTTTTGCCGCAAGATTCCTGCAGGGTTCAAAAGCTATTTAATGGAGGATTTTGTGTTATATAGTAAATGGGGCAGGCGGGATGTAATACATGAAACTGGTAGGAAACCAAGGAAAGGAACAGACTGATAAAACCAGAGTGCTCCTCGGAGCTCACCTGCTCCTCCCTCTCCTTCCGTGTGGAACTGGCACCCAGGTGGCCCAGATAACTTCCTTTTCCTTTAGAGCCTTCCCCGATAACCCTCCTTTTCTACAGATTATGAGTGTAAAGATTCCTGCTAATCTTAGTCTTCCTGACGTTGTCATTGACGCCCCGCCTTCCTCTCTACAAACAGAACAGCTGACCCTCCGACGTCACTCCTTGCTTTTTTACCTGTCACCCCTGGGGATACCTCCTGTTTAATCTCCCCTTCCCCAGAGGGGCCACATCGCTGCAGTCATCTGCCACAGGCAGAGGAGTGCAAGGAAAGAGCCCTTGTAATTGACGGGTTCTGTCTCCGAAGGAAGAAGAGATGGTGGCTGGTAACAATTTGACACGAAAGGGAATTAGCCCAGCCAGAGGCTCCCTGGTGGCCTCGGCAGAAGCCACTTGGAGTGGCAGGTGCCCCTCTGCACAAATGAGGGCCCTGACAGCTGATGAGAACCTCAGAACTGGGGGCCAGAGTGGCACGTGCATGATCTGTTAGAAGAGGAGCTGACGCTAAGGGCTTACAAGGGCCGCCCTGTAGGGGCCGACGGTGTATAAGCCCTGACTGTGTCCCCTCAGACACCTGTTTCTTTTCCTCCCAGGGCCGGCGACCTGTCACCTTGATTGGCTTCAGCCTGGGAGCCAGGGTCATCTACTTCTGTCTGCAAGAGATGGCTCAGGAGAAAGGTGAGTCTGACTCGTTGTCACAGATGAAAGCCATTCCCATGTTGGTCCCCCAGGCCACAGGTTCTGAACCTGGCTGGGGTCATAAGCTTTGTAAAGTGTTCATGCTTGGAAATAATAGTTAAAAGTGAACGGTTTTTAAATAGGGGGACAAAACAGGTAAGCCATTTGGAGAACTATTTCATTTTTTTCTATACAAAATTTTGAGTGGATGAACGACAGTCTCTCAATAATGGCATTGGTCCATTTGTCCGGATGTATGGTCTTGCATGGGAGGAAAGGAGACAAGTCCAAACTCAAGGTATCGGCAGGGCCGTGCCCCCTCTGAAGGCTCTGGAGCAGGCTTCTGCCTTGTCACTTAAGCTTCCTCTAGTGGCTGCCAGTGTTCCTTGGTGTCCCTCGGTGTTGCTGGCCTTGTAGATGCTTCTGGTGTCTGCTTCCCTCTTCCCATGGCATCACCATCCCTGTTCTCTTGTAAGGACAGTGTCATTGTCATCGGCTTTGGGGCCCACTCAAATCCAGGATGGCCTCATCTCAAGGTCCTTATTATATCATGAATGTCTTTTTTCATGAAGAGTTCTCATTCACAAGTTCTGGGTGGGTAAATCTCACCAGAGGCCACCGCCCAACCCACCAGACACCGGCAGGACTGTGCCACGCCCTTGTGGTCATCCCTTCTGTGACAACAAAGCAGGAAGCCCAAGGACCCAACTGCTGGCCTCAGGTGGGTGCAGGCTTCAGGGACGGTGCCAGCTCCGGACATCTGTCAGGGAGGGATGGCGTCTCACAGCCACAGGACCCAGAAGCAAGAGAAAGAGAAGAGTAGAGGAGCTCCGGGGCCAGAGAGCAGGGATGATGAGCGAGAAGGGGCTAGGGTAACAGCCACCGCTCTTGCTGTGACTTCACGGAGTGCCTCTCTGTGCCTTGGTTTCCCCACTTACAGAGTTGACCCTCACACTCCATGGGATTGTTTTGAGAGGCAAGCGAGGTGTCCCATGTAGTACTTGTGCCAACCTTCAAACCCTAACCAGAGGCAGCACAAAAGTGTCATCGTACAGCTTTTGCTCATCAGGTTTCTGCCAACCTGCAGCCACCTCCTCCCTGGACAGCCCAAGCAGGGGGAACAGTTGCAGCCCCCTACTAGCAAGCAGAGGGATGGGACTGCCTCACACCCCCAGGATTTGCTCTGCTCATGGTAGATACTGGGAGTGCCTGAGCCCAGCAGACCAGGTGTGCACATTCAGAACCCTCTGCTTACATCACACTCACTAGCGTCCGGAGCTTATCATCCACTGCTGTAAAACCACTTCTCCCAGTGCAGTTCTCACAGCTCTCCAATGAGCTCATTGTAAGCAGAGGGTTCTGAACCCGTCTGAGCCCCTGCAAGGCCTAGGTGACCTCACTCATGTGTCTGGCTGTTGGGGCCACCCCAGGCTCCTTCTTGCTCTCTCAATCTCCTCCTCAAAAAGAGGCCTTTGAAAAGCTGTCATCCTCTTTGCTGTCTTCATTTTGCTCCTTTCCTGGTCATTGGTCCCCAACCCATGCACAAACCGCCATCCAGCTCCTTACCTGGAGTGACGTGGTCTTATTAATGGAAGAGATTCATCCCTGAAAGGAGACGGTGTGGTTCTGCCTCCAGTTAGCATAAATTACATGCTACCTTCAGATCATCAGTACCAGCCATCCCTTCACTTCCCCTCCCTGCTGAGCAAATTGAATTAATTAACAGAGCCATTTGGCCGTGACCGGCAGAAATGATGTCGCCCAGCAGAGTATGAAGCTGGAAGGAAAGAGACCCCGGCCAGTGGCCTCTCAGCCACATGACTCGAGATGCTCCTGTGCCCCAGCCTTTGGGGGGACAGTTCCCCAGCATCTTTTCTGGTCAGTGCCCACCCCTGGATCTTCCTGGACCGCGGGAAAGAGCGTGGTGCTGGTAGTAGGCAGATTTGGGTTCCGGCACCCAGTTTCTGTCCCTGACTAGGCTGTGGGGCCTTGGGCCAATCACAGCCTCTCTGGGCCCAGCTTCCTCACCTGGATATGGGTCTCCGTGTACTTCATGCACTCAGAGGATTGCTGGGCACTAAAATAGCAGTGGATGAATGAAAATACGAAACTGGCTGACCCTAATTGGGGTACAGTCGGTAAACACGTGGCTCCTGTAAAGTGAGGACCAGTGGTGCCCGGGAACTATGGGAAGGTGTCGTATAGAGGAGCTTGTCGTTTTATGTCTCCTTCTCGGCCCCCTGTACCCCAGAATGGTCTGTAAACTCCAGGTTGGCAGGTCCTGGCTTGTGCCACAGTCGCCCCAGTGCACAGCACAGTGCCAGGCACATTTGAGTGTTTGGGAAGGGGAGGAACTTGGCTTAGGTTGAGAGAACCAAGCAAGGCCCGTGTGCCCCTGCACTGGGTGCGTTATCTCCTTTCCTGCCCTGCCCACCCCCCCAACACACACACACCAAGTCCTGGCAGTGGGCGTGGCTCCTCTCCCTGTTGTGCAGAGGAAAAAACCAAGACCAAGAGGGTAAGCTGTAAGGATACCAGAGCCAGAGCCAGGATCCAGCGTAAGGGTACCTGGTGCTGCTGCCCTAAACCCTGTGCTCCCAGCAGGACTCTGAGAGGACCCAAGCCTCAGGGGACAGGCGCGAACCGTGCAGTGGAACTAGCACAAGGGCCGTCCAGGGGTCACCAGCATGGCCAAGGTGGAGCCTCCCAGCGATCCGGAAGTGGGAGGGCTGATGTTTCCCATAGCCAAGGAAGGACCTCAAAGTGGGATGGTGGGAGGTGCTGCCGAGTTGGGGTGGGAACCTGGCACAGACTTGGAACCAACTGTTCAGACGCAGGGGCAAAGGCTGAGGTCCCTGAATCATGGAGTGAATGCGTTGTCGAGTGGGTCCTATAAGGGGGTCCGTCAGCACTAGACCACCTGTAGCCCACCTGTGCATACGAACTCACACACACATATTCAAACTCATACATGTGCGTGCATACTCACACACGTGTGCACACGCAGCAGCTCAGCAGACCCCAGCAGCATCGGGCACCTGCTGTGCTCTAGATCAAGTGCAGGTTTCCAAGCGTGATGCCCAGGGCCCCATCGTGCCCACCCTGGCATCTTTCCAGAGCTCTCCACCTCACTGCACGCCCACAGCACCCAGCTGTCTCCAGCCTGGCCCGGCTCTCTCTTGGTGCTCTGCCATCTCTTTTTGCATTAACACGTTTCTCGGGTCTCACAGTGTCTGGAAGCTGTTCCTCCAGTAGTAATCATGGTAGAAGCAGCCCTGCGTGGAAATTCAGACCCATACAAAGCGCCCACGATCCGTACTGGGCGTTGATAATGGGCCGGAGCTGTCTGTAGTGTAACAGGTGGGAGTGGGGGAAAAGGACGGCAAAGCTGGCTGTAGACCTCGTGGAAGAGAGCTTGACCCCGCAAAGGGTCAGCCCTGTACTTCCTGTTCCTTTCTGTCGCACACACCTGCTCCTCTCACCATCCTCCTCCAAAGCCCTCGCCTGTGTCACTGGGAAGGCAGCGTCTGTTCTGGCCGTGATCTTGAATGGATCCCTTCACCCCGGGCTGCTGTCTCAAGTCTGACCCATCCCAGCTCGCTGTCCAGTCTCGGGCAGCCTTGGTTATTTAACACCCGTTCGTTGACCTTCACGTGGAAGAGACCCTCTCCTAATTGCAGGGAAGCTGTCATTATCCGAGTTAGGAGATGTAAAAGAGGAGTTATTCTACTGCATTTCAATCCAGTAATTGCTTCCTGGAGCCCCTTGAGAGCCAGTAATGAAATGTGCAATAAAACCAGGAGTCCACAGTCTTCCAACCAGCCTCCCTCTCCTCCCTCTCCCTGCTCTTCCCTCCCCCTGAGAAAAACTGCCTGTAGAATTACTGTCTTCTCTTCGTTTCTCTTCTGGGGTGACACTGCAGTGCTTAGGGTTTGCTGGTGCAGGGCCCCTTACAACCTGGCCTGCCCGTCCCTCAGGCTCTGCTTGGTCAGCTGCCTCTCACATAGGTGTCACCCGCAAGTCACTTGAGGGCCGGAATCTGTCTGACCTCCTTGAGTCCTGTACTGAGATAAAAGCCAACAGAAAGTGGGTGCTCTGTGAGTGACATGAATGTAAAATCTACTGTCATAGGCCTTCACTGTGTAGCAATCAGTACAGGCTAGGTTATGCTGCACTAACAAGCACCCCCAACTCTTAGAGGTGCAACACATCCAAGGTTCATTCCTCATTTATGCTACCTGCCCACAGCGGGTAGGTAGGCAGGAGCTGATTGTAGTTACTCAGCCTGTCAGACCCATAAAGGCACCACCTCAACATGTGCCCCCTCTGTGGGTGTCAGAGATTTGTGAGTGGTGCATTTTCTTTTTAATTTGACCTGGAAGTGACACATATTACCTTGGCTCGTGTTTCATTGACAAGAGCAAAGAACGTGGACGTGCCCAACATCTAGGAAGGACTGGTGAGTGGGTTCCTACCGTATGTTCAGAAGGCTGAGAAGTAGAGCTACCTGGAAAACAGCAAGGTGGTAACCACAGTGATGTATTCTTATACCTCCTAAGGGACCTTGTGGTGCCACCAAAATAGCACTAAGGAGCAGTTCCGTTTCCTCAACACATACTAGAAATCCAGGCTCCGTTAGCAGCCAGGACTTGGTGGGATTCTGGCTTCTGTAATGGGTTGTCAGCCAAGATGATGTTGGTGCCGAGCTCCAGTTTCTTTATCCCACACTTTGCCTCCCAAGAACAGCCTGGAGAGTAGTAGGACACCTTCACAGGAAGACAGAGAGGGACCGGCCCTGAGGGGCTTGGGTCAGAGCCCCAGCTGTGGGTGGTACTGAGAGCCTAGAGCTCAGCCAAGGGGCCTCCATGCAACTAGGCAAGTTCAGCATCAACCTGCCAGCCATCAAAGGGACAGAGTCACTGTAAAGTCCTGGGTACAGTCAGCCAAACAGCACCTGGCCCAGAGAATCATAGGAAGTGCCCTAGTGACAATACCCAAAG